TTGTTCCCACCGGGATTCGGACTCGAGAACGATCGCTTCAAATGTGAGAGCGTTACCCACTACACCATCAACCCACGATAGCTACTTCTTGTGCGATGGGTATAGTTTTAGTATCATTGCTTGTATTACACCGTCGTTGATTGGACCGAATTGATCAGTCTCTGTTAGCATATGAGCTGTGCGGATGACCTCGATATAGTTGTTATCAATGCATTTATTATCGGTTAGTATAGTATTTTCGTCAAAAAATCGTCGAACACACTAATATGACTTAGTCATCATTCATGTGATAAGGTGAAGACTTAAGTAAAGTGATCACGTATTTCGAACATATATTTTAAGGGTTAAGGAATTACCTACGTGATAAGAATCGAATTAAATTAATCGTAAAAATGATATTTAGGTTATGTGTAAAAAAGGTTTGCAAAGAGTTTTAGTTTGCGCATAGTGTGTGTGTGTGTGGGGGGGGTGGAGGGTGAAGTTCGGTCCTTCACCTGGATTACATTTAAACTCGAAAATAAAATACGCGTGGGACTATGCAAGTTATGAAGCATGTACTTATGCTTGTACTAGACAATGAGGCTCATCTGTGTTGTGTTGCTACATGGCTATTCAAACCTTGGTAGTTGGAGATTTTGACGCATGATTTACTGCCTCAAATGTACACAAATGATGTCGCATTACGATACATTTAGATCATATTATCGTTATAGAAAAGATAGGTATAACTTGTTATCATACGTAGTAGTCTCAGTTAGCTGTTTCAGTAACCTAGTTAACTAGGGCGACTTTAAAAACCACCCTGGCAACGACCGAAAGAACCAATTAGGTGTATTCATTTCGGCTAGAAAGACAGATTTTCATAAAGTAGAGTCTGATTGGTTATTTCAGTTTTTGATGGGGTGGCCGTTAAAGTATCTCGTTAACTAATAGTCAGCACTATTTATCTAGACCGTTCACACCACACCTAGTTAGGTTTCAGCTACAACAGTGAAAATAGCTGATATCCTGATATGATACAGGCTGAAAATCTTTCAAACACTAACATGTAAATAATGAAACTGTCCGTACACATTAACACCATGTCCTCCTACAGTCGGTATTCAAGGATAATTCAATAGTAAGAGTAAAAGGCTAAACGGAATAAGCTTGGTTGGCGTCAGTGAGTGGATCTATGCTTCATATTAGACAGAGCCTAGACTATGAAACGCAGTCACGCTTTCTTATCAAAATATAACTTTTTCCTTCACATTTGTCTTTTTTATAAAGCATTCGTTCTCTACCACATTTTAGAAGGTTGGTGAAAAAGAATTGAAAAATATCACTTCGGTGTTTCGCTGACTTTCTGTATTTCTTCTGTTTGGTCTGTTAGAGTGACATATTTATTATACTTGGAATGTGCAATACATTGTTTATTCTACTTAAGTGTTTGATGAATTTGTGGATGGAATGAAACAACATCAGTCTGTGATATGTCGATGACTTTCGGAGAAATGCAAGGCAGTAAGGTTGATTCTTTTATCTGTAAGAAATTAGACAGCGATACAAAGTCGCCATAGTGTTTATCAACCTGAATGATCTGAGAGAAAGAAGTTAGAAATATTATTTACTGAAGTGCAGGTACGTCCAGCTGACGAGTCCTAGGTAGGATGAAACGCGCGTTCTGAAGTCCTCCGCTAGCCGCAACCAAGTAAATTAGCATGATAAATATTCAGGCGACATCGAGGTATCCAGATAGGAGCCCATATGCCAACAGAAGTTGCATAATTCGATCCAGTAAAACAACAAGTAATATTATTTTCACTGCTGATTTCGTCATTGGCATTCTCCACAAGAAAATGCTGAGATCTATTAAGTGTGATGATGTGTGACATGCGTAGCATGTAGGGCTTAATAAACATCATGTCAGTGATTCGATTGACTTCTGCCATATAAGAGTGAGTCATCGAGAATATGGATGAATTTGTGACAGTTAAATGTATCATTAGTGTCCTATTTATTTTGTATATGCTATAGTGACCGACATCACGTGTATCATGTATTATTGGCTTGCATGAAACGTCTGAATTCTTAAAATAACATGAATGTTTAACTCAGTCATCTGTGATCGGAATTTACAAGTCTGTGTTTGTTTCAAAGTGAAGATACGGTTAGTTGGTTTAAGCATTAGATATCCCAGTAATTAGTCCCGTATCCAAAACTAGTCGTGATAAACTCTAGGCTATATTATCAGATTATGCGACGATCGATATCTACTGCCTCGAAGACTCCTTACAGGTAGCTAACAGTGCCAAATATGGCTCAAATCGACAGTCGGTTACTCCATGGTTTGGTATCCTGACTTTGTTTGACCACTATCAGATTATTCTCTACAACATAATCTCACCTTGACTAACAGTCTGCGTTAAGGCAGGCGGTGCGCAACACATGTTGGAGCCACATCACTCCATGCACACTCACAATCTCATTGACAATATGACTTCAGCTTTGTACGCTCCGTCTAACACTAGTCTTGTTCAGTCTCTACTTCTACCACCACACCCAGCAAAACTACGAAGAGGTGTATGATCGGACTTTATACATACTTCAATACATCTCACATCTCTTTTTATCTCCAACATGTAAACAACTGGGCATGTGACTCAATGGTCTCGGCATGTGACTTACAACCAGTGAGTCACGAGTTCGAATCTTGACTTCACCTACTGCAGTTTGCACTGTCAGGTCTTAACACAATGCTGTGATGATGTGACTCACTGCCTAATACATCAAATCTAGGTGGTTGTTTAGAGACTTCATGTAGATGTTTCCGAATGACCAACAAAGCTGCTATACAACACACTAAGAAGCAGATCCAAGGACCGAACAGTGAAAGAAGACTAAACATGTGTCACATGTAAAATCAGCTGCCAGCACTGAGAACACTACGTTGCGTGTTTGTATGGTCAGCTGTCAATATTCTGTTGCGTATAAGACAGAAACCCTGGAACAAGTGCTTAAGCAAGTATACGGATCTATGGTAGCCTGTGGGTTAGTCGGCATACTGTTCTACAAATAAAGATTTGGCCAGTCAGGCATTATCCCAGATGTTGTTCACAACTTAGTAAATGAACCTGTACACTGTTCCTGCTCTACAAATCTGAGGATACGGTTCATCCTGGTTTGTCATCTTTCTAATCAAAATTTGATGGGGGGGGGGGGGATATTGCGATTTGGCGTGGACTTTAGTATTTAGGGGTTGGTAGCTACAACAGTTTTGTACTTCTTGCATCCCAATGGCTAAAAAACACTTGGTTACACAACAAAAAACATAGATTACGGTAATTTAATTGGTTGTGGTTAACAGAGGAATCCAGGACGCGCGTTTCATCCTACTTAAGACTCGTCAGCTAGATGTACCTAGACCCCAGTGAGTGATGTTGTTCCCACTGGTTCACATAACATAAATATAAGTTATATTTGGACGAATCTCAGCGTGTTTGAGATAAGAAATGTCAACGTTCCACACGGAAGTTTGGTCGTCATAGCAATAAACAAAATCTACATTATCATATATATATATATATATATATATATATATATATATATATATATATCGTGTAGTTCATCTCATTGTTCAATCGTGACTGAATTATGATTGCTTTTCAGTAGGATTATTAGTCATTCTCACAATGGTGCATTGATACATACGATGCATGAGTCTAAGTTTATGAGTGTTGTATTTCTGATATTTCGGATACAAATTTATTTTCATTTTTGACTATTTGATGAAAGCTGTGGTTTGGCAGACTTGTATTTATGCTGGGTGATGATTGAGTTTGAAATTCAAATTTGAACCACGGCTGGATTCGAACCAGCGACCAGTAGGTTTCCAGCCGGCTGCTCTACCAACTGAGCTACAAGTCCTGACTGATGACCAGGTTTTCTTATTTCACTTCAATCACCAAGGGTTTTGCCCAACTTCCATGTGAATTCGTGACTCGTTACTACCGCTTGATGATACTGACACTTGCTTCCTAGTCAGGATTTCTCATCCCAATTCAAAGCTAACTGAATTAGAGAAGGAGAGAGCATCATATTGATTATCATTTTTGAGTATCTGAGATAACCGTGGTTTGGCAGACTTGTATTGATACTGATACAAATTCATGTGTATTAACCGATATCTGAAACACAACACACGCAAGCTTACATTCTTGCTCCGTATATATCAATGCATCATGGCGAGAATGATTCAGTCTTACTGGAAAGCAATCATAATTCTATCACGATTGGACAGTGATATGAACCACACAATTTTTGTCCTGATATATATATATATATATATATATATATATATATATATATATATATATATATATATATATATATATAACAATGTAGATTCTGGTTATTTTCATAAAGGTCAGATTTCTGTGCGAAACGTTGGAATTTCTTATTTCAAACACGCTGAAATCTGTCCCATAGTAACGTATATCTAATGTCAACTTTCCACTCGGCACCCAATATTTGTGAAACTATCCGGTCAGATCTTGATCAGGATTCATATGAAATAGATTCGCACAGTTGGACCTATTCAATATGTAAGTGAAACTACGAACAGTTTAGAAAATGATGTAAGCTGTCTGTATGCTGGTATGCAGATTTTGTGATGAAATTGTACACTGAGTGGGCATTAACCAGGATAAATAATTCACTAACATTTTGACTCTCACCATCACTCCCCTTTCCCCAAACAGCCCTAACTCAGTGGAGAATTTCACCAGAACATATAACGTACAGCTAAATTGTCGCTCACCTCGAATATTTAACATAATTTTCATTTCTATAGCATTTATTTTCACAATTTTTTTGAATACGTTAATTTGCATATTTTTTATCGGTTGTATAATCGACACGACTTAAAATATCGGTCAAATCATTTATTCTCACTTCTAACCCTGTTCGTGATTGGCTCCATATGTGTGCACTGTTCATTTGACCGGTAGCCAATCATTCTAAGTGTATTGCGTAACAGATTTGTTGAATACTCACATGCATATGTATGTATATATGCAGTAAGAGAATAAAAGTCATCAAAAATCCGTCATTTGCCATTATATTGGAATCGTTTCCGCTGAACTCAAGTTAGCTGATATGTTTACTGCTGATGTACTGAAGTGATTTCAAAAACATTCGGTTGTTTTTTTTTAACGTTACTAGCCTAGTCTAACTAATGGTAAATCAAATGTGGTTTTGTCTTTTTTGTTTATACTGAGTGGTGTTCTGTTTTTCAGTGTGGTTAATTAGATTAATATTCTTATTCGGGGTGATTTTCAGTCCATAAGTAGATCGTAAAGTTTTCCACGTTTACATATATTGATTCTTTGTCATACTGTCTTACAACGACTTCTGATTTCCTGCTACACTCTACCAGAAATATCCAGTATTTGTAGGCTTTTATATTTAGTTCTGGTCGACGCTGTCTTTTCATTTCTACGCGGAATCGAAATACTAATCATGCTAGTACAATTCAAGATGGTAATAACAAACTTGTGTAATTTTCGTGTCCTCGGTTTGAGTTCAAATTTTGTGCTATTATTGATGAGTTGCTTTTATTATCTCCGCATATTATATTGAGGGTGAAATAAGAAGTTGGGCCGGTTTCTGATGCAGTGCTCTAACAACTGATCTTCGAGATCCAATACTTTCTTGATGAAGTGAAATGAGAGTCTGATAAGCTGTTGGGTCTCCTAGCTCAGTTGGTAGAGCACTGGGCCGGAAACCCGGTGGTCACTGGTTCCAATTCTGCTGCGGCCCAAATTCTCATTCCACCTTCAATCATCACTAAATATCAGTACAAGTCTCCTAAACCACGGCTATCTCAGATAGTCACACTCATGTTATATTCATATTTATGTGTGTATATAACTTCCTGTTTGTGTGCACGCTAACATTCATGTCTTCCGAATTCTTTCTTTCTTATTCAAGGAAAAGCAAGGGTTCAGCTTCCGACGATTATGGGCTTTCACAGGTCCAGGTTTTTTGATGAGTATTGCATATCTAGATCCTGGAAATATCGAATCGGATTTACAGAGTGGAGCAGTCGCCAACTACAGAGTGAGTCTGTGGCATTATTATTATTATTATCCTTCTATATAAACCCAACTAACAGCTAGATTAGTTGTTTTCCTAATCATTAACTGACGTCACCTTTTAGAACCTTTGAAAGTAATGATGTTAATCATGGTTTAGTCCTCTCTGAGTTTGATAGTGTAGCGGTCTACCTTAAACGAAGGGATGTAGCTTTTACTCGTTCCTCACTATGTAAAGTCATTGATGAATAGAACTTCTCGAACATAGGCTATGAAAGTATTCCTGTACCAGAGAGCATTTTGAGAAAAAGGAGAGAGTTGACTCATCTTCAATCGTACTAAGGCGTTCGGAAGTGACAGCTAAATTGGCTTTATTTTCTCCTAATTTACCGATGGATTGTATCTTTGTTAGCGTCTGTATGTCAGTTAACAGGATGAATGCTAAAGTTTTAGAAATACTTCTGATTGTTTTGGAATTTCACTTATTTAGTTAACACTCTTAGTTATTCGTATCTGTTGGAATTGAGGAAGGCGTTAAACTTCTTATTACTGTTAGTGATGAATCATGACTAGCAGTGGAATCCAGGATGCGCATTCGGTCCAATCAACGACGCTACGATATAAAAAAAATCATACTAATCTTATTACTGTTTCATATAAAGTCGAAGATGAGGCCAGGCACTGTACAACGTAGTGATGTTCTCAGTGCTGGCAGCTGATTTTACATGTGACACATGTTTAGTCTTCTTTCACTGTTCGGTCCTTGGATCTGCTTCTTAGTGTGTTGTATAGCAGCTTTGTTGGTCATTCGGAAACATCTACATGAAGTCTCTAAACAACCACCTAGATTTTGATGTATTAGGCAGTGAGTCACATCATCACAGCATTGTGTTAAGACCTGACAGTGCAAACTGCAGTAGGTGAAGTCAAGATTCGAACTCGTGACTCACTGGTTGTAAGTCACATGCCGAGACCATTGAGTCACATGCCCAGTTGTTTACATGTTGGAGATAAAAAGAGATGTGAGATGTATTGAAGTATGTATAAAGTCCGATCATACACCTCTTCGTAGTTTTGCTGGGTGTGGTGGTAGAAGTAGAGACTGAACAAGACTAGTGTTAGACGGAGCGTACAAAGCTGAAGTCATATTGTCAATGAGATTGTGAGTGTGCATGGAGTGATGTGGCTCCAACATGTGTTGCGCACCGCCTGCCTTAACGCAGACTGTTAGTCAAGGTGAGATTATGTTGTAGAGAATAATCTGATAGTGGTCAAACAAAGTCAGGATACCAAACCATGGAGTAACCGACCATCAATTTGAACCATTTATTGGAGCGTTAACCAGCTGAATGGGTATTCGAAATGATAGCAAGGGATGGTTTTATGTTCTGGATACGTGGTTCACTGTCGGTCACAACGGTGTATACGTCTACTTTTTATACTTTTCAAAGGTGTTAACACACTAGGTGCTTTCTACAGTTATTCTCATTAACGTGTTTGGATGGAGATAGAACAAAAATGATCATACTTTGATTGTTGTGAATAGTTTTTCTAGCTTTATTTTATTTATTCTCTCATCTATCACTCAATTTCTTTTCCTTTCTCTCCATGTTGAGTGTTATGAGGTTTAGCAACGTAAGCTAATTAACTTCCGTGTTCTCTCTGTTGTAATTGGGTTTGTCTGATGAGTGGCACACTAAGTACTTTAATTGAGTCAATGAGGAAAGGGAAGGGTTGGCATGAATAATAGTAATTAAATTCACTAAAGGAGGAAAAGCAGTTGTTGAATTTTATTGGCAGAAAATAAAAGTTTGTGGGTAGTTGAATATCTAACTTTTTGACAGCTGAGACCTTATGTACTCTCGCATGCTATATGTGACCTGTTTTAATCTAGTGTGTTCATGGTTCATTTGTGGGTAGTTGAATATCTAACTTTTTAACAGCTGAGACCTTATGTACTCTCGCATGCTATATGTGACCTGTTTTAATCTAGTATGTTCATGGTTCATTTGTGGGTAGTTGAATATCTAACTTTTTAACAGCTGAGACCTCATGTACTCTCACATGCTATATATGACCTGGTTTAATCTAGTGTGTTCATGGTTCATGTATTGAGTTTATTTTTGTCGGTAATCCTTATCACTGTATTAATGCTATAACAGATTACTGATGAGGTCAACAAATGGAGTAGATATGCGTGTAAACTTCCCTCTCTCTTGAGAGAACAACTTGTGGCTTGTAGGTGGTCTAAATAAGTGTGGTTTTAAGATGTTATATCATCTGTATAGTACACTTACAAACTTTTTATCTGAATGAATCATATTTATTCGTCTTCTCTACCTTTTTCTCTTTACTGCTAGACTATTTATTTAACACAGTTTTGTCATTCATTGTGGATTGAAATTTAGTGCATTTTCTGTACAATACCTTTTGGGTGTGAATCCCATATTGCGCCAATACTGTTCTACTTTGGAAGGATATTGTGTCTAGTGTATTCCTTTTCACAAGTCGCATGATCTGAGGTCGCTGTTTCTGTTTCAGCCTAGGTGACCGGGTCGTATCCTGAGCCCTGGAGCATGGGATTACTCGGATGTAGTTGGACTGCCCTGTAAACAATGCTGAGGTTTGGCGTATACTACTGTACAGGAAAGGCAAGTCAATTGATAAAGTTGTGGACTTTCATCGACTAAAGTGGTTTGGATATGCGTATTGCTTATCAAGCCACTGCCTACCTCGACATGCAATGTTAACTGAGATAAAACTAGTTTGGGAAGAAGAAGCTAAGGGGAGTTAAATCAAGAAACATTGTGAACTCATAGTCTCTGAATATTGGTCTTAGCCGTGTAAAGTGATGTAAGCTATCTGACTTATCTCTTTAAGACGATAAGAACCAATGGTTGTAACTTCTTGGCGTTATGGTTTGAAATTGATCACAGTGGCATAAATGTATGCATTCTATGCCATCTTCAATATTTAAGACATTTTCTTCGATAATCTTCACTCACTTGTTTCCTTTCCTATCATGCACTCCTGGCAGTTTTAAAATATTTTTCTTTTTTACCTCGTTCATTGAAGTATGGTTACTAGAATCGATACACTTGTGTACCATCTTCAATGTGTATTTAATATAATAGTAAGTCTGGATCATATCTTGGTGCAGCATAACCTTGTAATAAGTTTGGTTGCATTATGCTAATATATTTTGTTGTTGTTGTTGTTGTATGGTTTGTTGACAGATTGTTGTCTGTTTTTCAGCCTTCATACTCAAAGTTTGTTTTGGTTGTGAATCCACTTGATAAATATAAAGTAGTCACTTTAAGAAAAAAAAATATTGTAATTTTGTGTACTTCACTACACGGTTGATAAGTTCATTGTTTTCACCTCCACTATTATATAACACGGGTTCATGTAGTTGGGAGACAATGTGATCATATTCGATATGACATCATTTCAATCATTATAATCGTTTTGTGACTACTGGCTATACATCGGTTTTTTTTTACTCATAACCAATTAGTCATGAATATCATATATTAAGTCCCCTTGACAAATTTGAACAATACGAGAACAAGGACACTTGCAGAATAAAATGAGTTCACTTTATTTCATGGCCTCTCATCAGCTGCAAACAGCCTACAACAACTGAAATGAATTATTTAGTAATAATAATAACAACATAACATACTTTAAACACACAGAAATAAATGGAGATTTGAAATCCAGAATTAACAATTAGGTGATAGTAAGTCAAGGAAACACGGGATTAGTAGTTACAAATCCTAGTCAAAATCTATGGCTATTTATATCTGATGAGATAGAAAATTCTGGAGCTGTGAGGTGGGGGGATAATAAAAGAAAATCAGTGTAAAAGAAGGGACTGTTTAAGAGCCAATAGGTTATGTAACTACATGAGAAGCTTGAAAATCGTTAAGTGATTAATAGTCATCAATGTAGTTAATGAAGAGGTGACAATCAAAAGAAAAAGGAAGTCTATATACATACACATGCAAAAAATTGTATACATTTACCATGGCAAAGAAAGGTTAGTTACAGTCTCTTTCTTTGCACATAGGTCAGGTTGAAAATGTTTGATAGCAAGAGCTTCCGCAAACCGTAATAAACAAGATGTTATTTGTTTATTGATTATCCTGAAGGATTGAGAAACATCTATTTAATGTTCTGTTTCCATCGGATGCCTGGGTTGCTCTTTTAAAGACCTTGCTACTATTCAGACACAGGTTTCTCAGAATATGCTCATAAAATCGAGTAGACGTCCTTCTTTCGGTTCGTCTTATATACTTTCTTCCACAAGTACAGGTGAATTGATATACGCAGTTGGAGATGACATGAGATAGATGTTCGCCTACTTTTGACTGTACTATTGAGCATAATGTATTGTAAATTGGGATCAGTCTGGCATCAGGGAAGCTGTTTCTCAGTTCAGCTTTTATTCTTTTGTCTATTCTCTCAGATGTCGCATCACCTTTGAATGCTAGGTGACGGAAAACAGGATTCTTCTCAACAGTTGGATGTTTTAGTCTCAGTAATTTCTTTCCCATAATTCATGATGAATTTCTTCGGATATCCATTCTCTGTAAGAGCCTTCTCAATTATCCCGAATTCTTCTTGTTTATCTTTAGGGCGCAGCCTTTTTATTCTAGTGAATAGCGTCCTGACTGAACCACGCTTATAGCTGACAGGACAGAAACTATTGTAGTGAAGGTACTGACCAGTCCACGTGTCTTTCCTGTGAATAGTTTACTCAACTGTACCACCACATCTTCTTAAAATTGAATGCGTACTGACTTTCGTATTCCATTATAAAATCATTATTTGGATGAGCTTGGTTGAAGGTCTGAAGCAACTTCGACGCATTATTCATATTACCACAAACAATGAAAGTATCATCGACGTATCTTCAGCAATGTGCCTTTTCCTTGACCGCAGAGTTCAGACTTGTTTGCTCGAGATAAGCCATGAATATATCAACTAGGATAGATCCTAGTGGTGAACCCATAGCCACTCCATCAGTTTGCCGGCATAGTTGATTATTAAACTGGGACTGAACACCTTTTGTACAGAGGAGCAGTAGCTGTTTGAGTTCTGTTTTCGGCAGATCACACTGTTGACAAATTATGTCTATCGTTTCACCGGTGTGTTCGTGAACAATGAGGAAACATCAAATAATACCATGAATTTATCTGAGATATCTAATCTATCCAGTTCTTCAGAGGATTGGAATGTATCCTTCAAGCTGTGATTTACGAACGTTTTTCTGATTGGTTCCAATTTTTTTGCTCACCAACGAGCCAATTTATTAATTTATCATTGACAAAATGGGTCTCAAAGGAACACTGGACTTATGGATTTTTGGAAGGCCGTACATGAAGGGTAGTCGTGAACCTCGTAGTTTAAGTTCACTATGGGTTGCTCCATCAGTCAATTGCCTCTTCAAAAGTTCTCTGAGGTGCTTGTTTGGTTTGTTTTCAGTTGAAACTGTTGCATCACCTCTTCGTTAATTACGTTGATGACTATTAATCACTTAACGATTTTCAAGCTTCTCATGTAGTTACATAACCTATTGGCTCTTAAACAGTCCCTTCTTTACACTGATTTTCTTTTATTATCCCCCCACCTCACAGCTCCAGAATTTTCTATCTCATCAGATATAAATAGCCATAGATTTTGACTAGGATTTGTAACTACTAATCCCGTGTTTCCTTGACTTACTATCACCTAATTGTTAATTCTGGATTTCAAATCTCCATTTATTTCTGTGTGTTTAAAGTATGTTATGTTGTTATTATTATTACTAAATAATTCATTTCAGTTGTTGTAGGCTGTTTGCAGCTGATGAGAGGCCATGAAATAAAGTGAACTCATTTTATTCTGCAAGTGTCTTTGTTCTCGTATTGTTCAACTTTGTCATGATTCCAAGCCTTTTCACATCCCACTAAGTTTGTGTAAATCATTTACAAATTGTCACACAACGGGTGTGATTGTCTGCCTAGTACATCAGCTTACATTCAGTTGTTGAGTTGCATTTTGCGTTTGATAACAGCAAAATAAATACTCATGTTTTTAACTTTGAGTTAGACTCTATTTTTAAAGTTAGCAACTTAATATATGAGTGGCATAGCTTTCGCTTGATAAGAATGGACGAATTGATGAGTTACATATCTGTCCTGTTTCAGTATCCACTAGCTCATTTGAAGCTTATGGTGTACAGCATTTTTTAAGATGAGAGATCAGTTGCAGTACTGGAGGTTGACCATGAGAATGTTCAAAATTGTAAAGTGGTTGTGCATCCTGTTTTCAAAGGTCTTAATGAGCAAAACTCATGTTGATACAAAAGGTCCATTTGAAATTTATCAAAAAATATCGTGTTATAAAGGAATACATTTGTAAGATCCTAGTGGAATTCCAGCCATTTACCCAATAGTCAACTTGTTCAACTCTATCAGATCAATTTTTTTCCTGAAGTTGATAAAGTATGGTGTAGGATAAATATTTGGTTTCCCACTATAGTGCATTCCGTCCTGATATGCGATGGTGTATAGAAATCTATGGCACACCAACTCAGCTACTCAGCTGTCAATCAAGTAGGTTATAGACTTGAATCTCACTCTGACTAAGTTTTGTCAGTATGGCTAGAATAGTGCTGTGATACATAGCTATTTAAGATGGTAGGTGAGACGTATTTTACTTCTGACACCTCTGAAGCGTTATTTGTCGACTTTTCTTATCACTAACACCCTTTTCTTTCATCGTGTGTGCGTATGTGTATGTACAGCTGCTGTGTATTATGTTCGTAGTTAGTGTAGACAGTCTTTGGGTTGCATGTGACATCGACCAACCTTATTACTGCCTGCCTAACCAGTACATCTCAAGTGGTTCCCCAGAAATCAATTCTTGTAGAATGTTGTATGTCACATTATTTCCGATATATTGGTTTTTTAAGTAACTAGATTACGTGGCGCACTTGTCGATATCGATTCTGTATCAAGTTTTTGTCTTAAGTTACTTAAAAGACTTCAGATCATATAATACATTATCTAAGTAACTTTCAATATAATCCCAGAGTGTTAAAAAAATTAGAGATTTTTCTGAACGTATATATAATAACTTTCATATATAGTACATTGTTAAGCGATTGTGGTTGCGTAAAGCTTGGTGACAGAATTGATCTTCGTATTGTGGAACAATTATTTGAGTCCATGTCGAGATATCCTAGTGTTGAACTTGGTGGTTGAAGGAGTGACACAATCGACGGTGTCAGTCGGGCAACCCAGATATCAACTGTACAAATCCTTGCTGTAAATTAGGCTTTCTATCAACTTCAATCATCAACATCATCATCTCTGAAAATCAATATTTTTTCTGAAAGATTTGAAGAACTGTCGTCTTGAACAGCACTTTAGTATATTTTTCCTTTCTATCGAACATATTTTTTATAGCTTTTATGGCTCTTGCTTCTGGCCACGTTGATGGGGTTGTTTCTTCAGCGTTTAGCTGCTCGTTTGGGTGTAGTTTCTGGTAGACATTTAGCAGAAGTGTGTTATGATGAATATCCTGCACCTGCACGTATTATACTGTGGTTAATGATTGAAATCGCAATTATTGGATCTGATATGCAAGTAAGTTAGTTGCCTTAAATTTATTTCCTTGTAATTCTAACCTAATTACTTGTTTCGTAGTGTTTTTCTTTGTTTAATTTGATTATCAATATTTGAAACTGGAACTTACTGGGATAGGCGCTGTACTTTCAACCACTAAGTTATGGGTTCGAACCCCACTTCTACTGTGGTTTTAGCACCCAAGTGGTATCCATAGTTTCACATCACTACCGTAAGTTTATTGTATTTAATGTGTATCAGTCATTTTAAATACTTTGTAACGGAAGTAAATTGGGTAGACAAATTCAAAAGTATACAATAAGTCAGTCAGTACTGATTTGCAAGTGTCCCATTCAGTGATGGGGGTTACTGTACAGTTTAGTGTGGGATGAACTCTCTCATCAGGGGAAAGTTTATGGATAATATGAAGAACCATTGACGATGGTGATGATGGTCTTGTATATAGGAAATATGGACTATTGAATTGCGACTCAGTGAATTGATGGTAAAGTGCTGGCCGCGGTCTTGGGTCCTGGGTGCCTACTGCTGAAGAGTCCCATGATAGGACGAAACAGCTGCCCGGTTTCTAATGTTTCTCCAGCTAATGTTAGTCCATTATAAATACCAACCTGATATTTTTTTCTCTAAATGATATCTAGGGATACCGTAGAGGTAAATAGGATTTCCAGTTATTGTGAAGAAGTGATGTGTGAATTCTGTGTTTGAAGGACAATGGATTCAAACATAATTTAACCACAAACTAGGCGTGCTAATAACCTTTAAATACCCCCCAGAAATACCTTCGATGTACATTTTCACGGTGAAGCTGTCCAATAACTAAGAAGCAAAAGAGAGAGATATGACCGGAACTCAAAGGTCATATTGAAGATAAACCAGCAAGGATGAGGATTTCATGGTGCTTGGTTGATAATTCCACAATGACCATTTAAACATTCCAAATTACCGTAAATTTTGGTTGAAGATGTTTGAGATGAGGGTACTACCTAACAGAATGCTAAGACTGAATGAAATGTGATTGAGTGCCCTGTCTTGTTCCGAGAGCCCACTGCTCTACCAACTAAGCACCAGGTTGGAAATCCAGTGGACGCTGGTTCGAACTCCGCCGCGGTTCAAATTTTCATTTCACCTTCAATCATCACCCAGCATCAGTATTTCTGTCCAGAACTCCCTGACTGATAAGTTCAGTGTCAGACCACATTGAAAAGTATCTTCAAAAAAGATACACGGAGAAGAAACTCAAATACTCTCACACCAATTCACAACAATTTCAAGTTGGAAGATATTTGCTTAATTTGAAAAGAGGGAAAACTGAATTAGGTGATAACTCATTCTCCACATATATTCACCTATCAAACGCCATTCCATTTGATTCCGTTGGTACGGTCAGATAGCAGAACTACTCCCTATAAACAATAGGGTGTGGTGCTAACCTAAGACACCAGTTTGCAAACTTTAACTAACTTGCACACCGGAAAATAATTACAACCAAGAAAGTGAATGGAAACATTCTCGGAACAAGACAGGGCACTCAATCACATTTCATTCAGTCTTAGCATTCTGTTAGGTAGTACCATCATCTCAAGCATCTTCAACCAAAATTTATGGCAATTCGGAATGTTTAAATGGTCATTGTGGAATTATCGACCAGTCACCACCCAGTATCAATACTAGTTTGCCAAACCACAGCTATCTCAGATAGTGAAAATGAAAATATTGCTGCCCCTAGTTTGGAACCTTTTACCAGTTTACACCACCATCATATGCACGTGGTTTCTGCAAGAGCCACTTTCTATTTGGCTACCACTGAACCGCCGAGTTGAAATACAATGGTTATCAATTCAACAACTGTGTGGAGGTCGATATAATAGGCAGCGAGCTGCGTCTCATTCTATGAGAGCTGTTGTAGTATTTGTCTACTCTACACTGGCAAGTGGAGAATGGTTCGAACCCATGAGTCAGTGATTCAAGTAGGAGTAATTCATTCAATAAGTTCTGATTCCATAGGACCTAGATTAGTTAGTTACACACACTATTTCAGTGAATTCCATTTCTTTAACCATTTTCATTGATGACTGATTATTTTTAGGAGGTAATTGGCACTGCTATAGCCATCAATTTATTAAGTGCCGGTTATGTACCATTATGGGCTGGTGTACTTATCACTATTTTGGATACATTCACTTTTCTTTTTCTGGATAAATATGGTCTACGTAAATTGGAGTTATTCTTTGGTTTTTTGATAACTGTTATGGCTGTTACATTCGGCTATGAGGTGAGTTTACCCAGTGTGGCTAAAATGCATTTCGATGAATCAATTATTGTGTTTTCCATTGTTCATGATAAATAATGGCTGTAAGAAGAGAGGAGCCTAGAGTCGTCAAAACCATCTCTCCAAATTGTGTGATTACCTTGATATAACTTTGGACAATGAATTGTGTCCGAAATCTTATCCGGTATATAATACTATTTCACAGTGTGGTGTATCTGATCGACAAACTGAAGTAGAATGTTCACCTAGTTAGCAACAAGCTCTTCAGCTTGGAACACTTCTTGAAATCATTAGGTTGCTTGATGGACAGTTCTACCTGTGTGGAGTGTTACTTAAACTATTCCCTTGCAGACTAACTTGATTGATGCCCAAAGTAGAGTAGATCTTTTTGTAATATCTTACAAAGAGTGACATTGTATTGTTAACTCAGAATCTGTATATGGCTGTTGTTCACAACTATTATTGGTTGTCCATTCGGTTTATATCTTGACTCCTCCTCAAAGTGCATCATTCTCACTTCTCAAGACAGTAAACATAGCAGAAGTTCTTTGCTTACTGTTTAGCAGACTATTAGGAAACCGAATATCTCATCTCCTGGTTGGTTTGTAGTGAGTTTATAGAGTGCAGGATTCAAGTCACCAATAACACTAACTTCTGTGTAATAAGCTGTACAAATATATTGGACCCTTTGTGGGAAGGCTACTAAAAACTCAACAGTTTTGTACAGGTTTGTGTGTTAAGCAATGGGCTGTACGTTTTGTATAGTTTCTGTGTTAATACCTAAGTGTTCAAAATTTGGTGGATGAACTGAAATTTCAGTTTGTGACATACAGGTTGGAAGTCAAGTCAAGCCACACCTCTACTGAAGGTTAATCAGTACTAACCAACTCCCTAAATTTATTGGTTAGTGGAGTGAATTTTCAACTTTTAACGTAGTTTAATCACAGCCAAAACTCGCTCTTTCATCATCTTTTTTCTCAGCCCTAATTTCTATGCTTAGTTGATCATTTTGAGTCACTCAGTGTACTAATCAGTACATCTACTGATTATTGGTTTTAAAACCTAATGTTATCTTGAATGGATGGCATATGATTTTCATATTGGATAACTTGATTATAAAAACTGCCGAGACTTGAATAAGCAATTCTTTGATTGCTACTGATAACTATGTCTTCTTCGTGAATCTGTAGGTCATTGATTTCGGCAGTTGACTCTCAACCATTGGGTTTGGGTTCGAACCCCAGCGCGCTTGACGTGGTTTGGTAACCAGATAGTATCACCAGCCCTCATGCATTGGGTGTGGCTTTTTGTCTATCGCATGAACCTGCATACAGTTACCGAGTTACATTATTATTACTATTACTGTATTCATTAGAAAAAATATAAAAGAAATGTAAAAATATTTGTACCCATTTTCCTGTGATAATCACAGAGCAATCAGCCTTTGAGGACACAGTGTCCAAGATTGTAGGTTCTATAATCACTAGACGCCTGATTGGAGCTCAGGAACAGGAAGCCCGGGAAACCAGGCTGACTTCAGACTTGGTCATGAGTATTTATTATTATTATTAGTCCCTTGGGTTCCTAGTGGAACATAGGGCTTCAGTAGCACGCCTCCAGTGACCTCTGTTCTCTGAGATCTTTTGAACCTGGTCCCACGACAGCCCACAACCTCTCATTTCCTCCTCGCACGACCTCCTCCATGTCACCCTCGGACGTCCAACTCGTCGCTTCCCATGGGGATTCCACTCGAGCAACTGGCCTGACGCGTGATGTCCTCAGTCGGCCTTCTCAGTGCATGGCCAATCCATCTCCACTTCTTCCTGCATATTTGTTGCGTGATAGGTTGTTGGTTGGTTCGTTCCCAGAGTTCCTTGTTGCTTATTTTTTCTGGCCATCTGATCTTCAGTAGCGAGCCAGCGTAAGCAGTTGTTGATGAATGTCTGTAGTTTATTGGAAATACCTTTCGTGACGCGCCAAGTCTCTGAGCCATACAAGAGCACTGACTTGACGTTGGTGTTGAAAATCCGTATCTTGTTCCGCATGCTGAGTGCAGAAGATCTCCACACTGGTTTCAGGCTAATGAACGCCTGTCTTGCTTTTCCGATTCTGACTTTGACGTCCTCGTCCGTCCCGCCTGTAGTTGAAACAGTGCTTCCTAGATAAGTGAAGGAGGTTACTTCCTTCAAGTTTCTCCCGTTGACGGTGATTGGAGTTTGTTGTTGTTGTTGATGGTGGTGGTGCGGTATCTTCATCACTTCTGTCTTCTCTATATTCACCTGAAGTCCCGTCTTAGCTGCCTCTTCTATCAACTTGTTAGTTTTTGCCTGCAGATCTTCAAGTTTGTGTGACATTAGGCACAAGTCATCGGCGAAATCCAAGTCTTCTAGGTTCTTTTCCGTCGTCCAGTGTATCCCCCTCTTCTCGCTGCCTACTGTTTGCTGCATGATCCAGTCCACCACAATAAGGAATATCATGGGGGATAGTAGGCAACCTTGTTTCACTCCTGTCTTCACTTCAAAGGCATCACTGAGCTTCCCATTGTGGATTACTTGGCATGTGGCATCTTCATATAGTTGTTGAATGAGGCGGATAAAGGTTTGCGGTACTCCGTAGTATTGAAGCAGTTTCCAAATTACTTCTCGGTCGACGCTGTCAAAGGCCTTCTCAAAGTCGATGAAGTTGAGGTAGAGAACTGATTGCCATTCTATGCTCTGTTCTATGATGATGCGAAGCGTTGCAATTTGGTCTGCACATGATTTGTACTTCCTGAAGCCTGCCTGTTCCGGTCGCAGTTTTGAATCCAGTGCGTCTTTAAGCCTCTCTAGGATGATGCGGCTTAATATTTTACTTGGGGTGGACAGGAGAGTGATTCCGCGCCAGTTCTTGCAAGCACTGAGGTCTCCCTTCTTCGGCAGTTTGACAAGGTAACCCTTCTTCCAATCGTCAGGTACCTTCTCTTCCTTCCACACCTTCTGCAATAGTGGTGTGAGCATGTCCGCTGTTGTCTCTGCATCTGTTCTCAGTGCTTCTGGCGGTATTCCATCTGGTCCTGCTGCTTTCCCACATTTCAGTAGCTTTATGGCGTTCAGGACTTCCATTTTCGTTGGGGGATTAATGTTCACTTGTAGTTCAGCGGCTGCAGGTGGTATTTCTGGACGAAGTGCAGGTGGTGGTCGATTCAAGAGCTTCTTGAAGTGGTCGGCCCATCGTTTCCTCTGTTTCTCTTCTTTTGTAATTAAATTTCCTTCTTCATCTTTTATTGGTTTCATCTGTGTTGGTTTCTTCCCTGATAGCAACCTGGTTATTTGATACAATGTCGTCAGGTCTCTCTTACCTGCAGCCTGTTCTGCTTCACTTGCCAGTGTTTCGTAGAAGTGTCTTTTGTCTTTGCGTGCACTCTTCTTCACTTCTTTATCCAGTGTTTTATACATTGTGCTCAGTTCCTCTTGTCGTTGAGCATCCTTGCACTGGTTTATCTTCTGCTTCACCATCCTCCTCTCCTCTATCAGCTTCCAGGTATCCGTCGAGATCCATTCCTTGTCTTCTTTCTTCTTCCTTCCTAATACGGCTGTGCAGGTTTCTTTCCACATAGCTTTCAAAGACTTCCAGTGTTCTTCCACACAGGTTTCTTCAGGGATGTTGCTCGATGTCTCCCATTTTGTCTTGATGGCTGCCTTGAAGATCTCCTTTGTAGTTTCATCCTTCAGTTTCCGAGTGTTGTACTTGAATTGAGGTCTATCACCAGCTTCCTTGAAGGCTTTTAACTTGATTTGGAAGGTTCCTTGCACTAGATAGTGGTCTGAACCTACATCTGCTCCTCTTCTTGACCTTGTGTTAAGTAGACTGCGTCTCCATTTTCTTGAGATTGAGATAAAGTCGATTTGATTTTTAGTGTGTCCATCTGGTGAAATCCATGTCGCTTTGTGGATATCTTTGTGCCTGAACACACTGCCTCCAATCACCAAATCGTTGAATGCGCAGAATTCTGCAAACAATTCTCCATTCTCATTCATTTCACCTAGCGCCTCTCGACCCATGGTTAGTTCTCTTCCCGTGTTGTCCCCTCCCAGTTTGGCATTCATGTCGCCCATTAGAATTTTGATATCGCCAACTGACGTCTTGTCCAGTGTTGATTGAAGTTGTCTGTAGAATTCCTCCTTTTTCTCCTGCTCTGCATTATTTGTAGGTGCATAACATTGTATGATTGTGACCTTTCTTCCTTTTGAGTTGAATCTTGCTGTCATGATCCTGGAGGAGATTGGTTCCCACTGCATGAGAGCCTTCGATGCTCTTGAGGACATCATGATAGCCACTCCCTCAGTGTGCTCGTGGTTGTCGTCTGGGTGACCGGAGTAGATTATTGATTCTCCAGTTGACAGTTTGGAGAGTCCACTCCCATTCCATCTGCTTTCGCAAATCCCAAGCACTTCGATGTGATACCTTCTCATCTCCTTTGCAATCTGGGCTGCCTTACTGGGTTCAAACATAGTGTGGACATTCCATGTCCCCACGTTTACTTTCGCTTTCATCGAGAGTGAGAAGACACATCGGCCAATTGGCTTCCCGAAGGCTTTCACCAACTGGCGTCATTTCGCCTCTCCGATTCCAGCGGGGAATAAGTTTGTTTTCATTTTTTATATTTTGTTTGTGCTTTGAAGTTTTTTTAGCGGTTAGATTTGTTTTACGGGGTAGGGTTGCTAGCCCTATGCCCAACCTTCCCTCTTTATGGGGGCTTAGGACCGGCTAGTAACTAGTAAACTAGTTAACCAGGCGAGGTTGGTCATGAGTATATCGACCATATATTCACACTCCACCATGTTCTGGAACATATGTAGACTTACTGATGCCCAACACTGGCTGTACTTCTTGGCCTAAAGGCAGCATTCGACTCCGTCGGTCGAGAGGTCTTATGGTTATATTTCTCATTTGAAGTGGTACTAAGTGCAGTACTCTGGTAAAGACTCTGTACTCGAATACCCATGGGCGTAATAGAGCCTATGATGAGTTGTCAGATGAGATGTGTACATTGAGTGATGTCCGTCAACGATGCTCACTCTTTCCATTCCCGTTCAATTTTGTCATAGACGTTATTATACAGGTCTCCTTCCTGTAATTTGACTTCAAAGGGATTGACCTAACCACAGAAGAATCCTTAGTCCGAATACTTGTAAAGTGAATTTTAAAGATTCACTAGTATGGATAGGTGAGATCGATTTAATAAACCCTCTCGGATCCTGTATATGTGTCCCAGACAGAGCTTACATCCATGGCCAAAGATTCCAGAGTTTCGGCGTTGAAAGCTCCCATACATGAAATCCATGGCACGATCTTAGGAGACTAGGAATGAAGTTTCGATGGCTTTAATCCTTAGCAGTGGTTGCAGAATGAGAAATTGGGAAAGTTGTAAGAGGCTTTATGTTAGTATCCTGGGGTGACGGCAAAGAAGGAGACAGTTGAAGAGGATAGATTGGGTCTTGCGTACTAATGCAAGGGTGTAAGCGGTTGACACTTCTCGGCTGCCCACACCGTGGAAGGCTATTTCTCCTTAAGGTACCTGAAAGAGGAAAACTTTGTGTCACCGCAAAGCCCATAGCATACTCGTTTGAGGACTGTCACACAGCCTTTTGGGGTTTCGTTTTCAAGTTCGGTTGTTCTAATGCCGGATAGAGAGAACCCATACTGCCGGTACCGCAGACTGTGGAGTAGGGAGGAGTGTGATATTTTGAGGGCAGACTCTTTCCAGCCGTCTCTTCCCGTTAGGAAGGCAGCAGCAACGTGAGCACTATTGGCTATCTGCAGTGTAGTTATCTCCGCTCATCGAAATGGACATTGTATTGACTTGCTCAACATGTTACACCTATCTCGGTCAGTGTAGATTCACAACTTTCTTGAATAAATTACTTCTCTCGTTTAACCTCAGGGTCACTCAATCTACTGTTTCACATGTGACATGTATGATCATACTGTTCAACTTCAATGTTCTTTTCTTCTCGCTATAGAGTGACGCAGAAAGAACTACTGAGGATAAAATTCATTCGGTCAACTATTACCAAATCAATGTATTTCATTTTCATATTGACTTCAGGTCATAAATGAATAAAGACTTCGGCGAGTAAATTTGGTTTCGGCGATATCATTCTCTGCAGCTGTACACAAAAATATCAATAAATGTAAATCAACAACTGTTACTTGGTTGCAGTCATGAGAATAATATAGGAATAAAAATTACTTAAGAAACATGAAAGTAATTCAATGTGGAGGTTTGTGAAGATTTATTTATTGACTTCAGGTTGATATTCATCACGGATGTGAGGATGGAGATTAAGCTATATCATGAACTGACAGAAGTAGGAAATTTGGACCATTGGATCTCGACCCGGTGGTTCAATGGCAACGTGCTGGTCACGGAACCTGCAGGTTCTGAATGTGCACTGTTGTGGAGTCCCATACTAGGACGAAACAGTTGCCCAGTGGTGACAGGTTTCCAGTGTTCCTCCAACTGATGATGTCAGTCCATGATGAATACCAACCTGAAATATGAAAGTATTTGACTAGGTGAGTAAATATGAGTTAAAGTAAAGAAGTAAAGAATTTGTAACAAGTTGAGCAGACAGTTACTCCTGACACTTTGAGAGGTGAAGTTTCAACTTCTAAGATTGAAGTTCATCAGAAACAGATACCCAGAGCTATTCACAGATGAAAATCTGCATTGGAATGTCACCCGTCAACCTCCTATCACTGTGGAGAAGAAAAAGCTAATTTTGAACTTTGATTGGAAAGGAAGCACAGCAGATGAGGTACTAAAATGTTGTTATTACGTGAACAGTTTTTGTTTAGCTCAGTTACAAATGTCCCATCCTCTTACTCACAACTGTCTACTCAACTTGTTACAAATTCTTTACTTCTTTACTTTAACTCATATTTACTCACCTAGTCAAATACTTTCATATTTCAGGTTGGTATTCATCATGGACTGACATCATCAGTTGGAGGAACACTGGAAACCTGTCACCACTGGGCAACTGTTTCGTCCTAGTATGGGACTCCACAACAGTGCACATTCAGAACCTGCAGGTTCCGTGACCAGCACGTTGCCATTGAACCACCGGGTCGAGATCCAATGGTCCAAATTTCCTACTTCTGTCAGTTCATGATATAGCTTAATCTCCATCCTCACATCCGTGATGAATATCAACCTGAAGTCAATAAATAAATCTTCACAAACCTCCACATTGAATTACTTTCATGTTTCTTAAGTAATTTTTATTCCTATATTATTCTCATGACTGCAACCAAGTAACAGTTGTTGATTTACATTTATTGATATTTTTGTGTACAGCTGCAGAGAATGATATCGCCGAAACCAAATTTACTCGCCGAAGTCTTTATTCATTTATGACCTGAAGTCAATATGAAAATGAAATACATTGATTTGGTAATAGTTGACCGAATGAATTTTATCCTCAGTAGTTCTTTCTGCGTCACTCTATAGCGAGAAGAAAAGAACATTGAAGTTGAACAGTATGATCATACATGTCACATGTGAAACAGTAGATTGAGTGACCCTGAGGTTAAACGAGAGAAGTAATTTATTCAAGAAAGTTGTGAATCTACACTGACCGAGATAGGTGTAACATGTTGAGCAAGTCAATACAATGTCCATTTCGATGAGCGGAGATAATTACACTATAGATAAGTATACAAGCCGATATATAAATAAGGTTACAGGTGGCCATAACAAACCATGTTATCGCTCTATGAATGTTGTGATTATTTTTCTAAGTTGTGTAGATCAGGGTTGGCTATTTGGTTTTAGTCTTGTGGCAACCACATCAGTATCCTTTCTTGTCGTTGAAGGCTCATGTTTGATGACGGATCAGAGGCAGATGTTTGCTGAATACTCTTCATAGTTATTGTATCGGTTTTATCTGTTTGTTCTTCTTGGTTTCAATGAATGAATTAAAATAGTATTTTCCATTCTTTTTTAGTATGTTGTTGTGAAACCTGATCAAAGAAAACTTCTACGTGGAATGTTTGTGCCTTCTTGTCCTGGTTGTGGTTGGCCTGAGCTAGAACAGGCTGTTGGCATACTCGGTGCTGTTGTAATGCCGCATAATTTTTACCTTCATTCGGCTCTTGTTAAATCACGCAATGTTGATAGAACTAATACATTGGCGGTGGGTTTCTCATCTCTTTTTTTTTCTCATGACAATAATTGTTTCTATGACACAGCATGGTTAGGATATTCCCCAAATTATATTCGTAATGTATGTCAGAGTTTGTGAATATCTTCAGTGCTTACTTCAGTGATGATCCATTCAGTTGAATGATCATCTTGTACTTGGTGATCGATTGAGATTACTGAATGATGAAATTCAAGACAGTCGTCTTGGAGCTGCCCTTTGATAAACAAAGCCTATTGAATATGTTTAGTTAAAGCTTTTCTCGCTATTTTGTTTTTATGTATTTAGTTCGATATACGAAGTTGTAACTGAATATAGATGAATTGGTTGATGTCTCTAGCTCTAGTCAGTGTTTTCTTCTGTGTTGTTCTGTCTTTTCCACAATTGATTAGTTAGCACTTCTATGTGCAATCTTTCCTGCTTAGATCCCTAAAAAAGCTAGAAATCCTTCAATGTTGTGATAATGGAGAATATATTCATAGCTCAAGAAGATGATTTTGATGGTGTTGTGTCCTCTTTCTGAAGTTTTTGCTGATAATGTTGTCTAGAATGTCAATAAACGCTTCACAATTGAACCACCCAGCTCCGAGGACGCAACACCTTCAAAGTAATTCTTGAACGTATTTGCAATCGGTCAGTGATACTCAGAATACTGTTGAAAAGCCACCTGACTATGCTTGTCAATCGCTGGTTAGATAACACAACACAGTAACTGATAGACACCCGAGAAAAACTTGAAAAAATCAAGGTGACATGCAAAATATTTAAACAGAGTGGTATTTTGTGCAGCATAGTTATCCTCCTACAGTTTGATTATCTTTTCATTTTACGCTTCTTAATGAACTGAGCTACAACTAACAATAGAGTATTGTTGCATTATTTAGTGCTAAGAACTGAAATCAAGAATGGAGAATAGTTGTATAATAATCTTTTAGACAGTAGAAATAATGAGAAAGGCAAGGAGTTTGACAGGGTGAATATTGTTGGTAGATGAGAAATGCGAATATTGAGTGTCCGCTTGATAGATACAACGAAGGTGATAGTACTTAACCATGGTAAGGTATGTGATTGAATATACGTCTTCTGCATATAGAGACCAGGCGTGAGTTGATGAATTGTCAGTGCTTCTGGTGTACACAACTGTCGAAAGCGTACTCCTTTTGAACTGTTCCATTTGACTCTGTAAATGACACTGAAAGAGGACTCTGGTCGAGCTATTGGTTTAGATTGTTCAAGGATAGAACTGTTAATTGAATTACTTTTTCCCCTTGACAACTATGCACGATATTACTCAGATATACGTTTGAAAAGTGCTCACTCTGTGCGGCCTGTGTAATAACAGTAGTTTCTTCTGACTCTTCTATTTCGAAGTGATCGCAAACAATGAACATTTCAGTCATTACAAACCGACTAGATCATTAAGCTGGATGAATGTACATTGTCGAAAGATAGTCGAAATCCACTCAACAACCTTGTGCACATTTGGACAGTAGGCAATGAGTTACACCTGTTGTGTGTCGGTTAGTGATTCTACTTGAATGCCCAAATCTCGGTAGGTGAAGTAGTATTCGAACCTGCGATCCAATAGTTGAAAGTCAACTCTCTAGACCTATGAACCACAACTCCACTAACACTCAATGTTATAGTTACACCATTTTTAGTGAGTGTTGTTTTTTAAAATCAGTGAATCCTAATTATGGGTGGATTTAGGTGGCTCGGCGACCTATTTTAGTGTTTAGTGCATAAAGTTTTGATATAACTCATTTGAGTTTCGCCATAGAAACACACAGAATATGAAATAGTTTCTTTTTTGAGTTTCCACAAATTAGTATTCGAATAAAGTGGAATTTGTTCCGAGGTATATATATATATATATATATATATATATATATATATATATATATATATATATATATATATATGTTCGACTAAGCGCCTTATCATCCATTATCGGTGTTTTCTGCAGTTTGCATTTTCCCAGCAATAAGTAAAATGGGGGTACCATGATCTTCCTGTTTCCTCTAATTTTTCTCTCCTATAGGGCAAGATGTAATTCAGAAATCATATACTAGTTCGTGCACTAGCCAGTGAGCCAAACTTATGGTATATGGGGGAGGGGGGAGGGGGGTAGGAGCACCGACGGTACTGTCCAGTTGCTGGGACCTCGCTATGTAGACCGGGATTTTAGTCGATGACTCATTGGTCAAAGTTGACTGCCTGTTACTGTAAGCCACTAATCTACTATTTGTATGCGAAAAAGTATTCTTCTACCTACATTTTCATTAATTGTTTAGAAAATTATTATGCTGAATTTTCTTCTTTTTTGAAAAAAAATTTCTAGGTACGTGAAGCAAATATGTATTTCTTTATTGAGTCAGCTTTGGCACTGGTGGTTTCACTTATGATAAATGTATTCGTTGTTGGAGTATTCGGTGCTGGATTCTATGGGAAAAATACTACACAAGTGGTGAGTTTCTGTTTGTTTCATCTACTATTTCGTTTATTCTCTGTGTACGCCACTTATTACTGTCGTGTTAAGGTCATATCATAAATAATTTATATATTAATGTGTATTTATAGATATCTAAACCAAGTTGGGATTTGATGGTTTGAAGAAATCTAAGCGTTTGTTGAATGATATTCATCCTATTGGTATTTATATTTCCCAATGAATGTAAAACAAAATGGATTTGTTTCAACCAACGTCTCGCTAATTAATGCTTACATCTTTACCAAAGTTATAGTAAATCTGAGTTTACAATATCCAAGCTTACGTATGATAACTTGATAAGTGCCCTTCTGCATGAATGAATCTGCGTTGTAGAATAAAAATGATATCCATCTGTAGTGTATTGTGTGTGAAGATTGAGATTTGTATGAATATATGTATTGATGGTTCTTATCGTACGCATGTTGGTGATGTCAGTATATGGGACTGGGATGAGATCAGGTCAAACTACGCTTCTTCCCCTCGTTCCTATTTACAAAATTTTGATTCCATATTGGTCTTGGTACCTGGCAGAGGAATCCAGGACGCACGTTTCGTCCTATTTGGGACTCGTCAGCTGGATGTACCTATTACCCCAGTGAGTGGTGTTGTTCCCATCGAGGTTTGAACCCAGTATCCTTCGCTTCAAACACCAAACGCGTTATCCACTAAGCCACTGGGACACGATAGTCACAATTTCGACTCCACTTTGTGTGAAGAGATTCTGCTATGAGACATTTTCTTTAATTTCTGAATAATTTCGATGTTGTCAAAATTGACATTGTGACCTAAAGTTATAGCATGTAGAGCTATAGCTGAAGTGTTTTCAGGCTTTTTCAGCTCTACTGGATTTCTAGGGGGCGCTCTTCAGTGTGTTTGATGTTCTGTAGTACACTCTAACATTGCATTTGTTGAGCACTCTCCTAACTTCACTCGGTGTGTGAAATGAGTTGAGTATGGTTTAGTTTCATGATTTCGAAGTGGTTTTACGATCTAACTTAGTGTTATTTTCTATTTTATGAATGAATTTCACTAGGTATTTATTCATTTTCACATATTTTGATTCCTCAACTCTTTCATTTTCATCCGTTATTAGAACGTATGCTCTCCTTAAAAGACTAGAGGCAACAGAAACCTAGGTATTATTTCTAACTTATTAGACTCAATAACAACATTGACAGAAATATCTCCACTGAATACTAGTGACATTACCAAGGCCCTGAAATTTTGCTTGGAGACTAATTACTTCATATTTAAAGTAAAACTGAATAGGTAAACTAACGAAATGGCTGTGGGGTTCACCTGTTTCATTCATAGTAGCTAAACTATTTATGAGTGTGTTTGTCTTTGCATCATAAATAATTCATAAATTACATAATCATTGTGTTATTTAATGTTTTGTTTCACTTTTCACAGTTTGAAAATTGTACACTTCAAGGACATATTCCAGTTCGTTTCACAGATGCTGTAAGTCCTTTATCTTAGATAGCTTGGCGATCATTGCTTTTATATGCTTACGTTTTAAGAAAAAGTACTGCAGAGTAGTTTATTAGATTTGATTGTTGTCAAGTTTTTCTCTCTATGGGATGCTAAGATACTTGTCAAACTGGCTCGTTAATTAGTGTATTTCAAATTTGTGACTTCGTTACAAGAAGGTTCAGTAGCTGGAAGTTTTTCTCTCTTTTTTTTTATCTGTTGTACATGTGTTTCAAGTTATCGATTTCTTCGCTTTCTATCTTTCATACCTTAAACTTTTTTTCAGCTGATTTTTTTAAAGTTCCAAGTTTTTTTTGGAATTATTAAGGATTTCTATGGGAACAATTGTAAAAAACGTTTCAGCTATTGTTGTTATCCTCTGTTTGTTTTCACTTCTTTGTATTTGCTCCTTCGACCATTAAACTGTGAATTGTTGTCCACCAGGAAAATTCCATTCTGTCCTGTTATACAGCTGTGAGATATGGTCATTGAAAGTAGAAGACGAGGAGGTTACAGGTTTTTAATCACAGATGTCTTCACAGCATAGCAATGTTGAGGTCAGGTGAAGGGTACTAGGCAAGATAGACAAGTGGATTGATGAGGTTATGAACCTTAGTCGACTGAGATGGTTTGGAAATGTACTGCCTACCTCGATGTGCTATGCTAGGAGAAGTTGGATTGGGTTGGAAGAGGGTTGAGGGTGGACAAACGAAGACGTGACACCAGTCGACGAAGTCTCTTATTGTTAGTCTGAGCCGTGGAGTGTCGGTTTGGGGTCTCCGAGAGAAAAGGAATCAGTAGTTTAGGACTGTTGGCGACATGACTGAAAACTGGTGACAGTGGCACAGGTGTATTCACTCCTTGGTATCTTCTAAAGCTTGAATATTTGCACTAACCTCTACCTTCATATTGTTTATTCTCTCACACAACTTCATCTAATTTGATATCAGTCTTATTTGATTCACCTGTTCTTTGTGTTCTTTGATGCGTGTCAACTTGAGCCGATACATCTGTGCGCGACATCTTACGTTGATTTTGTCAGTCAGTGTCAGTCACTAGGGAAATAGTAAACACTTTGCACTTGATGATGACCAGCTTATTTTTCGGTCAGGTGTATACAACTGTATGACTTCGTGATACTTCATTCTTCAAACTTGACTTCGTGTCTGAAAAGATCTGCCGATTCAGCCAGAGGTGTCATAGATATTAATTCCTCGTCTTGATTTGTCCGCCCCTAACTGTCGTTCAGCTGAGTTCTATTTAAGTTAACACTACTGATCCTTGTGGTAGGCAGTTGATCCTAGCCACTTCAGTCGATGAGTGTTGATAAACTCATTGGCTGAATCACCTTCTTTGCTCACAATTACTCGAAGGGAAAGTTAAGAGGTTTGACGTATTAATAAGCTGAGTTACAATCAATTTAATAGTATGTTACCTAATATCTTTCAGCACTGATTCTTCCAGTCTTTAACGAACAATCTACACTGTCGCGCTTTTCAAACCGTAGATTTCTTACAATTTGGTTCTACACTAGAATAATATTATTGCCTATTAACCTAGGAAGTCAAGGCATGAGTAAAACAAGGCTGTCTACTATCACCTATGATATTCCTGATTGTAGTGGACTGGATCAACAAACAGTGAGGAGCGAAAATAGGGGCATACACTGGACAGCGGAAAAGAACGTAGAAGATTCAGATTTCGCCGATGACTTGTGTCTGATGTCACACAAACTTGAGGGTCTACACGCGAAAACTAACAAGTTGGCAGAAGAGGCAGCGAGGACAGGACTTCAAGTGAATATAGAGAAGACAGAGGTGATGAAGATACCCAACCAACACCACCACCAACAACAACAAGCTCCAATCACCATGAACGGGCGAAACCTAAAAGAAGTAGCCTCCTTCACCTATCTAGGCAGCACTGTTTCAACTACAGGTCGTGGTGGCACAGATGAGGACGTCAAAGTCAGGATCGGAAACGCAAGACAGGTGTTCATTAGCCTGAAACGAGTGTGGAGATCTTCTGCACTCAGCATGCGGAACAAGATACGGATTTTCAACACCAACGTCAAGTCGGTGCTTCTGTATGGCTTAGAGACTTGGCGCGTTACGAAAGGGATTTCCAACAAACTACAGACATTCATCAACAACTGCCTACGCTGGCTCGTTACTGAAGGTGAGATGGCCAGAAAGAATAAGCAGCAAGGAACTCTGGCCCGCCAACGAACCAACCAAGAAGCTATCGCTCAACAAATATACAGAAGGAAGTGGAGATGGATTGGTTCAGGGATACACTGAGAAGGCTGATTGTGGACATCACGCGTCAGGTCAGTTGCTCGAGTGGAACTGCGATGAGAAACGACGAGTTGGTTGTCCGAGGCGAGGGTGACATGGAGGAGGTCGTGCGAGGAGGAAAGGAGAGCTTGTGGGATGTCGTGGAGCCAGGTTTCTAAAGATTTCAGAGAAGAGAGTGTAATGGAGACGTGCAACTGAAGCCCTATGTTGCATTAGGAACCCAAGGGACAAATAATAATAATAATAATAAAATAAATAACCTAGAAAATAATCATTATTCATAGATAAAGATAGGTGAAATTTACCAGCATTTGCATACATTATACTATTTTGTGTTAGTCACAATCCTTCGTTAGTCGATATTTAAACTTATTTACACTTTATGATTACATTACTGATCATTATGGATTGGTTTGTTAAGGTTTTTCTTCTTCTACTCATTAATTGATTGTCTGATTTGCACATATGGTGTTAGTTTTTTTTTCTCAACCATTTTTATGTTTGATCAGGTCTATGTGTCTGTTTGGATTACTAAAAGGTGCAATTAATTATTTGAAGTCTGCTAATCGGTTTTTTTTTTCAAAGTGAAAAGTTGATTCTATTTAATTTTTACAGTCATGAATCGGTGTTTGTGGTTCGAAGTGATGACGATATTTTCATTGTACATATTCCTAAGATATTCCAAAGTGGTTTACATTGTGAGTTGACGGGAATTAGAGAAAATAACGTGAAAGTCTATAGGCTCTGAACGACTGTATATTTCCAGTTTGATATTCCTTAGGTGTGACAAAACATGATTCCGTAAGGGATCGGGGCCAGTTCCATTAGGTCTTCTGGTGAGTACGTTACGTATCATTCAGCTACTGGGCTGCAACCTATTGGTCCAGATTCTCCGAATTATGTCGTTTCTCGATGTGGTGTGACGATCATCCGTTATGACTAGCAAGTATTCATCTTTATGCTCCACTGGGTTGACTTCACAGATCATTACATCTCATCAGAACTGCAGGAGTTGGCTCTCCAAGAAGCGCAGAATTTATACTGGATGATGATTGAAAGTGAGGTGAGAATGTGGACGGTGGCGGCATTTTCATCTCACCTTTAATCATCACCGACTCTGAATGGTAGTCTACCAAACTACGGCTATCTCAGATAATCAAATGATAAGCACAGAACTGCTTGCTATTCAGGTGATGAGTTTTTATTATAAGTGGTGCATCTGCGATGGAAATGGGTTCGATGCATAGAATCACGCAACAAAGTGTGAGGCGTTTCATATCAAATTGCCAGTCAGTGAGTGACTAAACACTAACTAACATGTGCTTATGTATCGTGATTTCTCTTCATTTCATGTTAAACTGTTATGAGCAGACATGAATACTTGCTTTTTTCCTGTCAGTCTTATTACTAATTATTATAATATTATTTGTCCGTTGGGTTCTACTAGGGTAGAACATAGGGCTTGAGTAGCACGTGTCTCCACTCCACTCTCTTGTCTACAGTCTTCAAAACCTGTCTTTTTCAAAGAGTTGTAGTGTTGTTGCTTGGATTTGTCCTCGGGGATGTTGCCTAATGTCTCCTATTTTTTTCTGGTGACTGACTGACTGACTGAGTGACTGATTGGCTGACGTGAAGATGTCCCTTGTGTTTCGTTCTTCAGTGCAGTTTTTGTTCTGTGTGTTGAACTTGAACTGTGGCCTATCACCAAGTTCTGTGAAGAGTTTCAACTTGATTTTGAAGGTAGGTAGGTTCCTTGGACTAGATAGTGAGTGGTGTGATGTTGTGTTGATTAGGCTGCGTCTCCACTTGCTTGAGATTGATATGAATTCGATCTGGTTTTTAGTGTGTTTTGGTATCTGGTTTAATCAAATCCATGTTGTTGCTTTGTGAATATGTTTGTGTTTGTACAGAGTGCCTGGAATCACGAAATCGTTGGATGTGCAGAAAGAAGTCTGCAAAGAGTTCTTCATTCTTACATATCATTTGACCGAGCTTCTCGATCCATGATGAGTTATCTTTCTGTGTTGTCCGCTGCCAGTTTGACATTCATGTGACCCATTAGAATGAATTTTGATGTCGCCAACTGGTGTGTGGTTTTGTCCAGTAGTGATTGGGTTGTCTGTAGAATTCCTTCTTCTTCTTCTGTTGATCTGCATTATTTGTAGGTGCGTAGTGTATGATTGTGACCTACCTTCCTTTTGAGTTGAATCTCGGTGTCATGATCCTGATGTTGGAGGAGGAGATGGGTTCCCACTTCATGAGAGAGAGAGAGAGAGAGAGTCTTCGATGGTGTTGGGGACATTATGAAAGCCAGTGGCCAACTGAGTGTGGTGTGCTTGTGGTTGTTGTATGATGAGTGACAATATCGGAGTAGATGATTGACTTCTGTCCAGTTGAGAGTTAGGAGAGTCCACTTCCATTCCATCTGCAGGTTCCTCGCAGATTGCTAGCCTAGTAATTGTATGCCATACGTTTTCATCTCTTTTGCAATCTGTGCAGCCTTGGTAGGTTCATGCATGGTGTGGACATTTCATGTGCGCATGTTTACTTTTTCTTTGATCGAGAGGAGAGAAGGTATATTGGGTAATTGGTTTCCCGAAGGGTTTCACCAACTGGGGTCATTTAGTCTCTCCTATTGCAGTGAGGAATAAGTTTGTTTTTTATTTTTTATATTTACTTTGTGCTTTGAAGGTTTTTGTTTTAGGGGTGGGGGTGGGGGGTGGGGTATTGGATTTGCTTTCCGTTGTAGGGTTGGTAGTCGTATGCTCAACCTTTCTTCTTTATCCGTGTTTAGGACGGACTATTAACTAATGAACTAGTTAAGTAGGCGAGGTTTCATGCAGTCTTAACCTCAACAAAGTGTATTCCAGTTGGATAGTATGCATTGAATGCATTCAGATATTTGAAGTCAATGTGGGTGTGCTATTTTTAGGATTAGGGTTAAGAAAAAGACGACTGAATGAAGTTATTTAATAGGTCTCCAAGTAAGTGGTTTAGATTCCGCTCTATCTGTTGGAAATCGCTATATTTACAATGGTTTGTACGAAATGGTAGGGGTTATGCACTCATAGCATACTATACAGACTGATCCTAGGTTGTTGAGTTACATCAAATTAAGTTGGGCAACTTCGATTATTTCTGTCCTTTTCGCTGTTTTAAACATGTTCATGTTATAGAGAGGATTATTTTTAGCATTATGATTTTTCCGTTTATTTGCAGGCTTCTACTTTTGAACCGGATAGCGTGGATCTGTACACAGGAGTAAGTTGACTAGTTTACTCATTCTTGTAGCATGTATCCATATATCTTGAGGTACCCGGAAAAGAAGGGTTAGTGCATGACCGCGGAGCCGAAGTGATATCTGCTTGAGGCTGGTCACACACCGCCTTTTTAAAAGTTTGATTGTTTAGTATGTTTTGTGCAAGGCTGACTATAAACCCACATCGCCGTGGGGTAGAGAGTTGTGTGCTATTTTTAGGGTCAACCTTTTCTCAGCAGCCCTGCTTCCCATTCGGAAGGCAGGATCAGGGTGGCGCTGCTAGTCATCCGCGGGAAGCACCTTGCTACTATCACATCCCGTCCAGTCAGCTGTACCATTTTGCCATCAGATCCCATCATAACGTAGCAATTTACAATATAACAGTCACTTCGCTTCTTCTTACCACTATCAAACTGATTTTTTTGGTATGGTAGGGCCTCGAGGTAACAAGTGCTCCTTCAGTATAGCTCATTGAGTTATTGTGATATGCAGGCATAACCACCACGTCAAGTTAGCAGGTATCGATCAAGATGTATCCATACGCAGCATTGTTGAATATTTAACGATAATTACCAAGAGTCTCTACTGACCTATTTTTCATGTTTATTAGCAAGAAGTAGTTGCAAGCTCAAATGAGGCATTAGTTGTTTTACTAATTCAGGTCCTAATCGTCCTGCTCTTCATTCAGGTTCAGAGCTTCCTACAGATTTCTTCCAACTGTGTGCTGTGTAGTACGTTTCACTGCGATGTGATGCTTCCTGGTACTACATGAAGTAGACAAATAAGTTGGGAACTGTTCCCAATCTGTCGATGTTTATGAGAAGGATGGTCTCCAATTAAACATCTGAGAGGTTCTCTCGTTTATAAGGAGTGGGAATTGATCAAGCTGTAGATAGCCTGTAAAATCTACATTCTGGAGTGAAGAAGTAATGATTCTGAATAATGTTTTAAGCGGTTTGTGTGTACATTTATTGACATGAATTGTTTATTTCCAGTTGTTGTGTTATACTGCCTATTTGCGTATATTTTCACTACCACGGATATTTCACGAATATATTACATTCCTTTTTCCTTTCTCCGCTTAATCATATTAAAGGGAATATTTTTAGGCTGTGAATTTGGTCTTGCTTGTCTGTATATCTGGGCTATTGGAATATTGGCAGCTGGACAGTCATCTACAATGACTGGTACATATTCAGGACAGTTCGCTATGGAAGGCTTTCTAAACTTGAAATGGAAGCGTTGGCAAAGAGTTCTGTTAACACGTTCTATAGCCATATTACCAACTATTCTGACAACGATATTTAAAGGTAATTTGCTTAGTCTTACGTATGCGTAGAGATGAATTCTTGGTCATGTAAATTTATTTTGATTACGTCATTGCTAGTAGGAAAGGCGACTGTGAAAAAAATGCATACCTCTCTGGTAGAAAATGCCTTTTTACTTTGTGGTGTGAGGTGAAATGTTTAGATATAATGGGTGCAATTGAATGCATGATACAGTAGGTTTTTAGGGTGGTCAGATACGGCAAATGGTGAGGCGATTAATTCCCTATTTCCGTTATGAAAGGCTACTTTAGAATGATTTCCAGGACTAGCTAGTCGCAATGATACACTTAAAAGAGCTGCTACTTTTATGTAAAAGTAATACTGAATTCACATTTGAGGGCAAAGATTTCCGCCAGGTTGATGAGAAGTCTTTCAGGCTGACATATTTATATCGCACATGCAAAATCTAGCCGAGAACCTAGTAGACTAAGCCCATCTATATTGAAGATAAATTGACGATATCCTGATTATTAATGATAACTCAAGTCAATCTATTTCAATTCTGAACTGAAGCATAGAACAGCACATGTTTGACGTATGCCGAAGAGAGAGATGACTACTTGCTATTCTTAGACATGTTAATTAATTGGATGCAGGATGGATCCATAAAACGATCTATTTACAGAAAACTCTCATGAACAGGGGAATATTTGAACTATCACAGCTTTTTCCCAGTTCAGTACAAACGAGTTTTAGGTGCTTATTCAGTAGAATTCAACGAATATGCGCAGAAGACGAGAAAAGAACATTGACTGAAATACTGTTGGAAAATAACTATCCATCAAAATTTATTAGGCTGCACAAAATAATCAGAGGGCCAAAATCAGATCTTCAGTTTGTCTTATCAGTCTTTATCAGTCTTCCATACAAAGGTGACTCTCAAAGTACAATCCTTAAGCAGAGAATGAATGCTACTGTTAGAAGGACTTACTATACAGCTAAGATTCGATTAATAGAAACCACCAAGCTCGTATATTCTCCCGAACCCTTACAGCACGTGGACGACAATGTCACATCTCATTGCATCTACCAATTCAAATATACGTGTGGTGACACATACGTAGGAAGGACTCATAGATTTATGCAAGTAAGGGTCTCTGAGCCTAATTCAAAGTGGCTTCAGAAGCAAATAAAATCACCTGAACCCATAAACATTGGTAGCAGATACATTTTTAATTTGATCTCCAACTATGTAAACTCTTTGGCCAGTTTCTGACAATGTTATATGGCACCAGATTAATCAGTTGTTGGTATTTCCTTGATTGCAATTTAACATTATAAAACTTCACACAATGTGATACTCAAGAAGGTTTTGGTTATGTAACTCCTATTTTGCAGTTTTTCTTAAGTCATTCAATACAGACGATAGTTCACTCAACTAGATTTCTAAGCTCGGTAAGAAGAAGATTTAGATATTTTGGAAAACTACACTTTTCCCGTTGACATTGAAGGAGTCATAAAATAATATTTAAGCATGTATTCACCTCACAAACAGATCATTCATTATTCATAACGTACAAACATGTGAAAAAATTTAGAGTTGTAATCTCGGCTGAGATCTGTTCAGGCACAAATGATTTATATCTTCGTAGTTTCTACAATTATTTCCTTATAAAGAAAAGTTTTTTTCCCAGCGTTTTCTTTTACTCAAATAACTGTCATCATTATCATTACTTTTCTACAGGCATTGGAGATTTAACGGGTATGAATGATTTGTTAAATGTGTTAATGAGTGTCCAACTTCCATTCGCTGTCATTCCATTACTGACATTCACAAGTAGCAGAGGAGTTATGGAGGATTTTAGCAATTCCATGTAAGTTATTATATCATTATTTGATATACATATTTGTTTTTATCAGTTCAATATTTCGCTTTGATTCAACATGGAAAGCGACTTGGCGCTGACCTTTTTGTCAGTAGTAAAATATTTTGAATGCTAGTCAAGCCATGAGGAAGGATAGGCTTTATTGATATTAGTTACAATGATAACTTTGGAGGCTGATCATGGTAATCATCTGTTTTAGCTTCTCTTCCACAGTCATTTTTTTATGACCACAGCAAGTTCATCCTATTAGTAGGACGTCCCATTTGCTCATAAGGATGATGAAAACAAAGACACCTGAAGTATGAACTGACTATAGGTCCTGGAGTTGTCATGATTTGTATTCAGTGTTCATGACTATGGACATGAAAACAGTGTAAATAGCAGATACTTTGGGACATATTTCGGAGCATTTGGTATTTCTTTTTCCTGTCTCCTCGCCCCATTGACGGACTGGATGAAAAGAAATGATGGAGTTCAGTGGGTTTGAGAACGCACACAAGTAGAAGTAGGTTGGAAAAAGTACCAAGTCGGTAAGATCAAGAAATAACATTGGCCTGTCAAATCACTGATTGCTGGTTTAAGCCGTATCAGGAAGGATAAACTTTCCTGACTACATCTGTCATACGTTAGAAACCAGACTCTAGTTAGACGCAGAATGTAAGATTGCTTTATGTCCTCATTTTTATGATCTAGGCTATTGCATAAATCAGTTCATATATTATTAATCAACTTTTGAGCAACTCAGTTTTTGGATGGAATGTTTTCGGAATACTGGTATCACTTTATACATTTAATCGATTATGTTAAACGTGATAGCATTTCAAACTTTGCTGCTTACTGTAGGTTTTCACTACTTTTTAAAGTAGACGTTTTTCTGGTTCAAAAAATTGATTTTCATTACCTAACACTGATCTTCTCTTTCAGTTTAATGCATGTAAATGGTTACGTAATTTCACTATTAGGTGGTGTTCTAATTGTACTGCCGAATTACTGATTTCGGTTACTCCAGAATTACCTGAATCATCTGAAATTTATCGATTTACGTCATCTTCAGAAGCGATGAGACATACAATCATCTATTAAATGCTGTCTATATCACTCAATAGACTAAATTGTTATTGTTGTGGCGGGTATGTCAACGTCTATATACTGCTAGAAACTTGCAAATTTTTGGTTATTCATAGCTGTCCACACTGTGCAAGTTGTTCCTCTAAGGTACCTGATGAAAAAAAGGGGGGCAGAATTCAAGGGACATCTGGAGGCTGGTCACACACGGATTTTTTAGTGTTTTAGATTGAGATTTTATTGTTATTGGCGGACAAGAAAAGCCAACACCATCGGCACAGGAAGACCGAAGAGCAGAAAAGAATGTACCATTTTTGAAGTCAACCTTTTCTAACACTCGTCATATAAGGGAAGGAGCACCAGCCTGAACTTATGGTCATCCACGGTACATACCTTACTACCGTCATACCTCGTCCAGACAGCATTATGACTTCACCTTCGGATCTACTCCATAGTGTACGCTTTTTACTTCATGATGGTAACTACTTTTAGTCTTACTATTATCTAGTAAATCTTCCCGATATGGTAGTAGGGCCTCAAGGAACAAATGTTCCCACTAGCATGGATCATTGATTTGTTGGGGTATACAAGCCCAACTACCGCGTCAAGGTAGCAGCTGTTGGTTGGTTATTACATTTAGGAATCAGTTAGTAAACATTAAAACACTGGTAATCTGTAGACTATGAACTTCAACCAAACAGTACTGTTCTGATGGCTCTTTTTGATTCCACTCACTTTTATATATATATATATATATATATATATATATATATATATATATATATATATATATATATATATATATATATATATATATAGTGAAACAGATTTCGAAAGATTGATTTCAGATGTAATGAAAACTTCGTATTAGAGTTGTTTATTTGATATGGGACATATGGATACAGTATTATTTAGTTGATGAATGAAAGCTCAAGGTAATCGGTGTTAGTTGACGTCAGTCATTTATTCAGCTTGAGACTTATGTATTATAAATAGTTATATACAATGGATGATAAATGCTGTGAAATTCGAATGCCGAATTCACTATGTACTGATAAAGAAAATAAAAGTTATGCCTAATAGTGCATATACCCATCGATGAAATCTAATGATCCTCGCATTGAATTGTGAGTCGACTGAAGTTGCAATATGTCTACTGTCGACTTAAAGGTAATGGATTCACTATAAAACCTGAACTGAATGTAGTGTGTGCTAGGAAGTATACTCCACTGAGGAGTTTGAACCTAAAAATAAATAATCGCCTCACACGTTGTGATTGTCAATGCTTCATTAACCGATGTGAGTGTAGGTCTGTGATGCTAAATGCTTACTACCTTCAAAAGATGAAGAGAATTCCAATTCACACTTCTGATAAATTAATTACTCTATCGATGATACTCATGGAGACCATGGCGATCATATCTCTGTCATTTCACTCTAGGCAAGACAGGCAAGTCGATTTATGAGGTTGTGAGCCGTAGTCGACTGAGATGGTTTGGATATGTACTGCGCCTGACGAGTCACTGCCTACCTTAACGTACCATGCTAGGGGAAGTTGGATTGGATTGGAAGAGGGTTGAGGGGTGGGCAGACGAAGACGTGGCACCAGTCGATGAAGTCTCTTAGTGTGTGTTTGAACCGTGTACACATGGAGATGTAGAGTGTCGGGTTGGGGTCCTCGAGACAATAGGAATCAGTGATTGAGAACTCTTGGTGATGGCTGAAAATTGATGGCAGTGGCCGAAATTTATTCACTCCTTGGTATCTTCTAAAGCTTGAATATTTGCACTAACCTCTACCTTCATATTGTTTATTCTCTCACACAACTTCATCTAAATCGATATCACTCTGTTTATGTCCATCTTTTGTTTGCTATTATAAAGTGTGTTGACTTGAGGTGATGTACTTGTGTGCGAGGTTCTACGTTGGTTTTGTCAGTCAGTGTCAGTTAGTCAGTTCAATACAAAATAATTTTCACTTACGAAAGTCAGTTAATAATTGCGGTTGTGTTCCGAATCCATCAAGAGGCATTACTCATAGCTCTGAATATGTATGACCAATAAACAACAGTGAGGGTTATCAAAGCTAAAAACACTGAACATTGAATTTTTTCTCAGCATTTCTCTGGCAATACCATCCACCTACAAAGTAAAAAAGCAAATTGTTGACCATAGAGTATCTATTGTATGAGGTCCAAGATTACTAAAACTAGGTAGACATATTATTAGAAGATGCAGTGCAACTCAAACATGTCACTCAAGGATTGAAAGTCGAGATGATGGGTAGATGCCTACACTAATGGCACACAGTTCTTCACATAATTTAGAAAAAGTGAGCTCGACAAGTCTATCCTGAATACAGTCAAAAGACAATTAGGAGTAATGTAAAACAAAACTAATGTTACAATATAATCGTTATAATCGTTTTTGAAGCATTCCTTACGCATTTTAGAAACATTAAGAAAGTAGTCGATGAGGTTTTCTGACTGTTGGGAACTCTAGACGTCATAGCAGATGTCCTCGAGACCATAGCTTATATAATCTATGCGAGGCTACTCAAAATCGACCTAAAAACCATATTTCATGCGCATTTTTCACTTCCCGATTCATCGACTTATTTATTTTTGTGTATTTAGTTCTCTTGTACTGCTTTTGCAGCATGACAATCGGAGGGGATTGCATTTTGAACGGTTTCCTGTGGTCGTGCTCCTATACTTGTCTAGCGGCATTACAATTGGTTTTATGTTTTGAATTATAGTAAAATGCCTTTCTAAAGAATTGGAGCCTATTCTATGTATTATTATGTTACTCCTAAAAATCTTTGTTGTCATTGTTTCCAAAAATCTCTTTGTTATTTTTAAAGCATACTCTGATTATGTAGTCACTTGAAAGGTAAAAAAAAATGATGCATGTCCTTCTCACTTCATAATCTGCATACATCTTTATTTGATTACTTATCACCTGCTTATCATTTATGTAGTGATTTGTATGATACCGATAATAATGGGAGGATAATAACGATGTTGATTAAAGTTGGGGCACAAAATACTTAGTTTGGTTCATGATTAAGTCAGGGGGTCTTAAAACTAACCATCGTCTACTGCTGCACGCAATCCCGAAGGCCCTTGGTTTAGGTTTCAAATACAAATGTATATTTGCTGAGCACAAGTAATTATAAAATACAAACTCAGCATTGTAGTCTACTGTTGTGGTGGTGGTTGACGTTTTGATTTGTGTTAAAACTGATTTTTTTGGACGTTAGGTTCGTAGTCTTCTACGCTCGTATCGCTCGTAGGCTGTTAGATCATACTACCGGTCATAGCGAATTGACGACGAGTATATTTTGAAATAAACCCATCACGCTTGGAGAAATTAATGGAGCAGCAGCTTAAAATGATGGAGTTGCTTGTTGGCTCACGGATATCTTCTCCAGTCGATTCATCTTCAGTCAATGACAACGTTGGTAGCACAGCATCTCCGAATTCCTCTATGACCCAGATGCAGCATAAGTTTCAATACGTGGTTTCGCAGATATGAAGACTTGTACAAAGAAGACTTCGCAAACAGAGACAACTCTTGGAAGGTCAGACTGTTTCTTCGGAAGTTTTGAGCGGATGAATTGGATAGGTATTGCAATTTGATCGTGCTACAGAAACCTGGTGATAGAACGTTTGAGGAGACCGTGCAAATAATTTGCTATGACCGGTAGTATAGTCTAACAGCCTACGAGCGATACGAGCCTAACGCGCAAACGAATCTACTCTAATCAGAACGTCAACCACCGCTACAACAATACCACCTGCAGGCGAAGACAGGAGAAGACAGACCGTTGACAGACAGCTTTTTACTGTCTCAACAAGAGTCAATGCAGTAGACAGCGATGCCGAATATATACATGTCTAAATGACCTTGACGACACTAAACCCAAGTGTAGATAAAAATAGTTAACAAGCATTGAAATTTGTGTCTTGAGAGCAGAAGGAAGAAAAACTAGTAAGAGTGTGGAAATAGCCATGTAGTTTATTCTAAGGTCATGGACAATACAGCAGGCAAAAGCTATTCAAAATTAGGGGTATGTAGCATCCACTTGGTGGCTGAACGGTAGAATCCAGGACGCGCGTTTCGTCATTTTTGGGACTCACCAACTGGATGTGTCTGCGCCCCAGTAGGTAGTGTTGTTCTCATTGATGCTCAAACTGAGTGCCCGTCGCTTCAAATGCTTCAGCGTCACTCACTAAGCCACTGAGGCACAAAAACCACTTCTTGTGCAATGGGTATTAGTTATTGTTAGATACTTGTAATCTTCCGTGGATAGATACTGGATCGGGTTGCTTGACCTCTGTTGGCAAACTTAGCGTCTACTTGTTGCAGTGTTATGTTGGTTAGGTTAGTGATCACACTGGAATTTGATCAACACTAGTCGTTTACTAACTAGTTATCTAGTTCATCTGGGTCATGATTTTGCTTACCTGAATAGACTCTTTTAGTGTGTTTTATCACACTGTAGGACTTCTTACAGATCGCTTTTAAAAACATTTTGAAAGCTGAAAGTTGGACCTGGTTAGTATAGTTGACTTTTTTTTAGCCTGTTTGGCGTATGCAAGATATTTGACTGATGTCATATAAAATTTGAGTACGAGTTGTGATTTGGTCATTTCTGTTTATTCATTAAGACTACATTGCATAATATGTTTTAATATGATTATATATATCACTTTTTAATCATCTAAGCATGCCGATCAATATTTTGGGAGTTTCTACTCGATTGTACTTTGTTTTTCTCATGATATGATTTTTGATTCTGAAGATCATTCATCTCTTTATTAATTCAAGTAGTTGAGTTGTCTATGCGAAATAGTTTTCATCAACCAAGTTGCAAATGAGGGACGGATAATTGTTACTCTTGATTTTGGTTAATAATTATCTAACCACATGTTGGATCTCTTAATGCAATGGCTGAAGGGCAACCTGCTCGCTGCAAGATCATATACAAGTTCCTCAGTGCATGCATCGAGCCGTAAACTAGAATGGAAAATCCGTCTAGTAACTCTTAGTTTTCCTCAACTTGTGATGGAAACTATCTACGCATATCATGAATCACTTTTGTTTCGCCTACTCTATTTATATTTATATATGTAGTTATGTGTTTATGCATTATACGTTTGTTTCACTCTCCTTTACATCTTAAAGTCCGGTGATGATCGTTGCTAATTTGATATCAATAGGAGTTGTTTCAATTAACTTATTCTTGGGTGGTGTTGTCATCAAAGCCCGTTTACCGCCCCATTGGGGAGTATACTTAGGCATGGGAATACTGTTCACCTTCTACTTGGGATTTATATTTTATTTGGTAAGTTTAGTTTTGTTTATTTATATATATGTATATGTTCTAATTTAAATTGACAGATATTCGATGCACCGTCTGTCTGATGAGTATGCTCAAAAAGTTAGTATTATTTCAGTTTTGAGGTTTGTTATGATTAATGTATTGATTTCAGGTTGGAATTCACTCTAGACTGACATCAGTTAGAGGAACATTGGAAACCTGGGGGCAGTTGATAACTGTTTCGTCCTAGTATGGGACTCTTCAGCATTGCGCACCCATGACCCTGACTCGCTAGGGACCTTCAGGTTGCGTGACGCAGTAGTAACTTGGTGACCACGGAACCTGAAAGTCTTGGATTGGATTCCTCGCAGGGTTATGGGTGCGCAATTCTGAAGAGCCCCATTCTAGGACGAAACAGCTGTCGACTGCCCCCAAGTTTTCGGTTTTCCTCTAACTGATGTCAGTTTATGATGAATTCCAACCTAAAATCAGTTAATGAAATCTCCACAAACAGCCAGATAGGATATCTGTTATTGACTCATGAAGTTATCTACAGCTGAAGTGAGCCGTGGAGAGAAAAATCTATAGTACGATAGAAATGAAAAATTAAGAACCGTCTCAGAGATTAACACTCTGAACCAAACACTGTTCTATCGCATTCAATATTCTTTTCTTTTTCACTTGTTTTTCTATGTTTGTAAAGTTGATAAGACTTAAAAGATTTTCTTTTTTATGGTTTCATATCAGACTTAACTGTGTGTCTGTTGGTATTTCGAAAGGTAATGTTAGGATAAAGGCATCAGTATTTTAAACTTAAATCAATAACCTAACAACACCATGCTTATCCTCAGCTCATTGATTACAATTACCACTTATTTACTCTTTTATCGATTTTTATCAGAAACCCTTTACATATCACATGACTTACTGTATGCTATTGATTTTTATTTACATTTTAACTTTGATTACAATAATGCACAGATGATGCACTACTCATTGGGGTGTAAATAATAATAAATTATAAGCGCATACATTGATCGTTCATGGGAGACCAACCAATGTTATATTGTCTAGCCCTGAGTGCTGACTGAATTGTATCAGTTATTTTTCGATGTAGTTATCATCGACTCATTTGTCTTGTACTTGTGTTAGTTATGTCTAATTATTATCCACCCAGATGAACAATGTTCATCGTAGTGGATTTAGGCTGTGCTGACGTATGTTGTGGTAACTTGGACTGTTAGGCAACAATGCCAAGTTCCACGGTGATATTTTCTGATGGACTAACTGTATTTGATGTTAAGCGCCTGGAAGTAATCAACAGGAATCCCAAAAGTCTATATTGAACCTCAGAGAAACGAATGCTCCATCAGAGTCTTAAGTCTATCACTTAGTATTAATCAAGAGGAATAGATAGAATGGGTAGACTACGACCAACCCTGGGATTTTGACAGATATATCGGTTAGCGTCCGCTGGCTTAATTGCATATGCAGTTCGGCCTTGAAGGGGGTTAGAAATAGTGTGAAAATATCTTAATGATAAAACTGTCTGAATTCAGCACCAATCGAGCATGAGTTTCCTCAAAATTGGGCGCTGATTAGTGTCAATGAGTGTGAAACTTAAACTGACGGCTCCAAGCTTCTTAACTCCCAATATACAAAACACAGAACTCAGTTATGGCTGTTTTCTTGACTGGCATCAAAAGTTTCTGTGATTTCACTTCACAGTGCTTCATAACAGTATTTTGTATGGTGCAAGGTAATTTAGACATTAGTATTCTGTCACTTAACCTGAGAGCTCCAGGAGTTTCAATTTCATACATCTTTAACGCCTACGACAATGAATTTCGGAAAGTCCATTAAGTTAGTACCGCATCGTAAATTTGATTGTTTTTTCTTCGTTTTCTAAGCACTTACGTTGCACAAGTAGAACTGTAATGCTTCCGTTATTTCGCTCAGACAATGTTCGGCGGGGATAGTTTATAAGAATATTAGCTAGGTGAAGTTGCAGTAAGAAAACTATAGCCTCTTCTTCAGTTTATCTTCCTTTGAACTCTTTTTGAGCTATCTGACTTGTGTCCTCGAAATACTAACAATGAGTAGTTGGAGAATTGTTGTCACACGGCCCTGAATTAATCGAAATTGCGTAAATGCGCTCATCCTTGACCATCTTTAAAGTTCATTTAGGCGTATTTTCTTAATTTTCACTTTATTCACTCATATTTGTTTTGGATTGTGTTACTACTAAATATTGGCAACTATTACAACCCAAAATTGTGAATGTGATCGGAAAGTACTGAGATGAAGGTGTTCAGGTTGTGAGAGAATTGGATACTTCGCTTCGACTTTAGACAACTGGCTTAAAATGATCAGCTAGTGACCGACGTATCACATATTTCCTCATTGGTGAAGATATGCTTTAATGATTGAGTGCCAACAAGTAAACAATCTAAGTCCTGGGTTTCCAGCCGATTTCAACCTCAACATCAAACGGTTCAACTCAAAAGATCGAGTTCCCAGCTTAGCGATTCATTATGTATGGTTTTCAACAATATTAGGGATAAAGAATCGAAATCAAAATCATTTATGAAATGCAACAGTCACATTTATGCGAAGACAAACAGAAGGAGTAGCAATGGGATCACCAATATCCCCAATCGTAGCAGATATATTTATTGATAGTTGGGGAAATATGACTTTACGAACGTTTTTTTCTGCATTTAAGATATGGTAATGATATGTGGATGACACATTTACTGTGTTGAAACCAGAACGTATCGACAGTTTCCTCATACATACAAACTCAGTAGTAGACTCAAACCAATTCATTTACGACTTAGAAAATGAGCACGAATTAGCTATGATGGATTGCAGAATAAAACGAAGGACAGACGGTGGTTTGGATACTACCATCTACAGGAAACCGCCTCATTCCAGCAGATATCTAGAATTCAAGTCATCTCATCCAATGTCAGTTAAGGTGGGTTCAGTCAAATATTTTAATGACGTAGCTGAAAAAACTCATTAATTAGTGCAAAGAATTGTACAAGGAACTGAAGCATATAAAGAAGCGCTGATAATTATCCTCTACCGTTTATAAAGAAATTCGTACGAACACGTAAGAAACAAAATGATAACAGTAGAACGAATATGAAAAATAGCAACAACATGAGTAGCAGTAAATTCGAAGCCTCTGTTGTGCTACCGTATAAGGAAGGCACATTAGAAACTTTACGTAGGATACTTACTCAACAAAGCTGGAATTAGGGTGACATTTAAACCTACAAACTCACTTAGCAATAAGCTTTGTTAGCCAGATTAAGGATCCGATAAAACGAATTAAGCGAAATAATATAATCCATCAAATTCCATGTAATTACTGTGAGGTCAAGCACATGGGTGAAACTAACCAGTCGGAGTCAGTTAGGTTAGTGGAACATAGGAATTTAGCTAAATATGCAATGACAGACCCAAATAAGATTTCAAGTTGTTATTCATCGAAGACTGACATCAGTTGGAGGAACAAAGGAAACCTGGGAGCACTGGACAGCTGTTTCGTCCTAGTATGGGACTCCTCAGCAGTGCGCACCCACGACCCCACCAGCAGGGATCGAACCCGCGACCTTCAGGTTCCGCGACCAGCGCGTTACCATTGAGCCACCGGGTCAGAATCCAATGCTCCATATTTCCAACTTCTGTTAGCTCACGATATAGCGCAAACCGCCACCCAATGTCATCGTTGAGTATTTGTCCTCACGGCCATCAGGCTTTGACTCCACCGGTCACGACTTGTCATTGGAACTTCGGGAATACTTCTCGTTCCTTCGAGGTCCTAATATGCCAGAAAGGTCCTTTGAAATTTGGTTAGATGAAGAGCAGTTACCGTAGTAGTGTAAATTATTGCATTATAGTGGGGTCTGAGGGAAAGTTGTGCTGCTGCTAGCTGGATGGGCTGTGACAGCAGTAGTATGTTTCGCTTAGATGATCACCAGTGTCACGCTGGTGCTGCCTTCTCAATGGGAAGCAGGGGATAGAAGAAGTCAACCGTATACATTAGACACTCCTTTCTGCCCCACAGTCTACTGCGACAGCAGTACGGGTTCTCTCTATCCGGCGTTAGAACAACCAAACCTCAAAACAAAACCTCAAAAAGCTGTGTGACAGACCTCAAACGAATATTCTACGGGCTTTATGGTGACATAAATCCCTATCTGTCTCAGATACCTTGAGAAGAAATACCCTTTCACGGTGTGGGCAGCTGGGAAGTATCAACCACCTACACGCTTCCATCAGTACACAATACCCAATCTATCCAGCTCAACTCATCTCCTCCTTTGCCTTCACCTCCTGATACTAATATTTAACCTCTTTCGAATCCCCAACCTCTCATTCTGTGATCATAGTAACAATCAAAGCCATCGGAACCTCATTCCTAATCTCCTAAGGCCGTGCCATCGATTTCATGTAGGAGCTTTCAACATCTGAACTCTATGCCAAACCAAACTGCAAGCATCTCTCGTCAAAACTTTAGAATCTCCATCTATGGTTGTTTGCTGTGTCTCTGAGATGCGTATAAAGGACCCGAGTGTGGTTATTAACTAAGTTGGCCTTACCTAGCCATAGTAGTGAATCTTCAAAACTCACCTTAAGCGTATCCGGCGACCCAATAGCTAGCTCTCATGAACTCGCTGGTGAAGGCGTAGCTTTGAGCTGTAGAGCATAAAGTGCGCTTTTCGATTGAATACCAGTCAACAGCCGTCTATGTGTTGTTCGACAGAATGGATCTGTGAGAACTAGGAAGGATTGTGACTTGCCGACACCTATTCGCAATCTCCGCCTACGCACGCAGCGGCTGTAGTTCGAACAATGCAAAGGGTGAATTTATGAGAATCTTTCAACCTTGCTACAATAAGCAGAGCGTTCAGATATAGTCGTAATGATAAGTGACTTTGACGGTTAAGTAGGAAAGCTGGCTGGAGAGGTGTCTGGGAGGTATTTACGGAAACCCATGCTAACAAACCGAC